AAAATATGCGTGTTAGAGAATGTACAAATGTATGTTAACAGTGTTTATGTCATATCAGTCCGTCAGAAAAATATATTTTTATTTTTTTTTATTTAGTTAGTTAGTTGTCATTCTTGGCTGAATAACTCTAGCACGTTTTAAAAGCCCTTTAAAATTAAATATGAACACAGTTTGGATTAAATAAAAGTACAGTCAAATTGTATCTCCTTCAGTACCGAATACTGAAATTTTGGTACCGTGACAACACTACACCTATGTGTACAAAACTGAAAATTGACCAAATGCAATATATAATATAAAAATTGCTAGTTTTATTGTGAACGATTCATCAGCTCGAGTCTTTCAAGGACTTTCCTTTTTCGACTTCATCCTTATTTTTTAAACCTTTTCATGATCCAGTCAATTTCAGATGGAAACAATAAATAAAATCCCACCATGTTTTTTTTACATATTTAATGTTCTATTTATACTGAAATACATTCCATTATTGAAGGAAAATAGATGCCATTTTTGACTTGAGGAAAGCACAACACAATCTCATAGCAATTTGTAACTATATTTAACGTTTTGGCAAATTGGCAGCTAATTTGCACGGTCTCATTCATTAGTTTTTGTATAATATGCCTTCACCTCACAGAGAATGAATTCTATCTGTGGGCACAATATATATTTTTTTCCTGCATGTCATGTGTGGAGCTCCATACAATTCACATTGTGCAAATTCATACAAAATCGACATACAATCATATTCCTGTGAGATTGAGTTGGAGGGGAGATTAAGCATATTGTAATGTTTTGGCTAAATGTATCGCATAATTATTAAAAAAAAAAAAAAAAGCACAGCATTTTGAGTGTGAAGTGCCTCAAGTGCTAGAGGGAATGACTTCTTATGATATGTGCTAAGGCTTCCCAAGGAGACTTTGGCGCAGAGGTCAGTATGTTGGCAAAAACAGTGCTCAGAGCTGTTTGGCAGGGTCTTTCACTGTGGTTGCTTTATGGCCACAAATTTAGGCGGATAATGAATGTTATTTTACTGTACATTTACTGATAGGGACATTGAGCCTCATTCATGGAACACAACAGAAGAAACAGTATTATAACCTGCTATGTCAAATACGAATTTTGAATTCAAAATCCAAAATGTCATATAGAAATCTGTGAGTAACTATCCTTATGTTGTAGCAGCTCTCATATAGATTCTCTCTGGATTCACGGAGGCTTTTCAGCACTCAGCGAATTCTGTTAAATTGGGCTTACTGTCCAATTTAGCAGTGAGGTGGAATATATATCTTCTGTCAGTGTGGTGGAGCTCAGATTAGCAACATTTCTTGCTTATTCACGAGTCTTTTATCACGAGTATTTTTCCAGTCTTTATTTTGAAATTAAACCAAACGAAAAACCTACGTCCACACCTACCTTCAGGTATTTGTCATCTTCTCTTCGCATGCCAGATTTGCCAACCGCCCCAGCTATGAAGCGATTTACAGTCCACTCAGGATTTGAAGAGAGGAGACAGTTATTAATGATCCCAATTTGCGTATTTGATTATCTTGTATGAGTGGCAGTTCGCACTGTTTATCACTCTTATTGCTTTGGCGCACAAGTGGCACAGCGCTTATCCTGTGGGAGACGATGGAAATGCTTTTTCATATGGTTGAGAACCCAGCGCTGTGTGATGTGGAATGTCTTTGACTTCATTATCCTCAGCTACAGTATGTTTGTATGCATGTGCATAACCGCTGACATTAAGACTTTAACGTGCTACATTTAATTCAAATTAAACGTGCTCACTGAACTTCTGTCCACTAGAGGAGAAGATACACCTGAGAGCATTTCCAAAAAGATGCATGTTGAATGAATGCCCTCGGGATGCTGTATTGAGGGTTGCGGTGGTCTGTTTTTTTTTCATGAAATACATTAAGGAAACATTGCCGCAGTCTTTATGTAAGAAATGGACAGCTGTTTGAAAGACTAATCATGAATACAAATCAATGAAGTTTAATAAAATGAAACCCCGCCCTTTTTCATTGTTGAATATCATTTTAGTTTGAAAAAAAGCACATTTTGGACTTAAAATGGGTTGGAAATGCTTTTTCACATTTTTATTTATTTATTTATTTATTGCAGTTGTTAAGTTGCTCCGAGTAGTTGCTAGGGAGTTCTGGGTGGTTGCTAAAGCAATGCTAGCTGCAGGGTACAAGTTGTTTTGAGTGGCAGTTAACACATTGCATAGTTGCTAAAAGTGTGTGCACTCCAAACGTAAATAGAATATTCGCCGTTGTTTTCACACTGCGTGACTATCTGGGGTAGCATTCAGTTGCTGCTGTGTTCACATTGCATGATGGATCGGCGACAGGTGGTTTCACATTGCATGACTTCACAATAGGAAGAATCGCTGACAGCTCTGTCTGGTGCCGGGTTGCCAGGTTTTCGCTACAAAACTAGCCCAATTACTACTCAAAACTAGCCTGAAAATAGCCCAATTGCTTTCGAGGTGGTCCCGTCGCGTTTGGGGGGGTAAAATACAAATTTTGTTGGCGGGGTTCTCCTGGTACAATTCACATTCCAGGGCCTAAATATCACGTTATTGGGGTCGCTTCAACCTGCTGACATAAAAAACAACCGGTGGCAATCGCGGATTTGGCAACACTGGCCCGCAAACTACGTTTCATATAACTCCTCCCCGAACTTCCCGCTGCCCTGTATCTTGGTCTCTCATTGGCTGTAGGTCATCGCCGATGTGTTTTTCAGTCAGAACTCATTTCACACTGTGTGATTGTGAATCGCTGACAGCTCCAGATATTTAGCATGCCAAATATTTCACGGGCGTCGGCGACGTGTCGGCGATTCCCTCAGATCGCGTCGTGTCGGAGAGCAACGATTTGCCTCCAATTTCGGGCATTTGTCGGCAATTTCACAAAACCTGTCGGCGAGTGAAAAATCGGGCTAAAATCATGCAGTGTGAACTCGGCATAAGGAGTTGTGAGTAGTCGCTAAGGCAATGCTAGCTGCAGGGTGTTGCTATAAGATTGTTAGGTCTTCTGAGTGGTTGTTAGGATGTTGCTGTGCAGTTGCTAAAGTGTTCTGCTTGATTGTTAACATTTGGTTTCTAGGAAGTTGTGGATTGTTGCTAATGCATTGCTAGCAGCAGAGTGTTGTTAAACGATGGTTAAGATGTTATGAGTGGTTGCTAGTGCAGTTGCTAAGGTGTTCTGTTTACTTTGTGGTTTCTAGGGTGTTGTTGGTGGTTGCTAAGGCATTTCTAGCTGCAGGGTGTTGTCATAAGATTGCTAAAATATTCTGAGTGTTGTTAGCACACCAATGTGCAGTTTCTAAGGAATTATGTTGTTGCTAGGATATTCTGAGTGGTTGTTGGCATTTTGATATTGGATTTTGGGTGTATGCTAAGGCATTGTTAATAACTTTAGGATTTTTTTTTTGTTGAAAGCTTATTACAGATTTTATGCAGATTAATTTTATAATTTTCCAGAATATTGAAATGACATTACTATCATTTTTACCTCTTTTAGGAAACAAAAAGAGAGCACTTTTTAGTCTTTTGTGTTTTAAAATGTTCTTAGCTTTGGAATAATGATATTGTACCAATATTTTCACAATCATTTCTAGTTTTTATAGCTTTTTCACAGCTGACTTGACTGATCACACGTTTTCACATTTTGCACATCATCTTGTACTTAACGTCGTCTAGATTTTGTCCATAGATTTTGTGTGTATCCAATAAAATTCAGGACATCCCAAGGGCTAACCTGTCTTTAATACTGCAGAGAAGTGACTTCAAGTGTTGTCTGATATC